TCCTACCCCCAGATCCTAGACACAAGCGCCTGAAATGAGCGTTCTCTGTAGGGTGGAGCCCAGTGGTGCAAGAATAAGTTAATGGCATGTTTAACCCAGGGAAGTTAGCCGGACCAGTTAGAGGGTTCTAAGTGTTCCTCCTGATTGGACCTCTCTGTCTGACTGTCTGTCTGGGTGTGGAAATCCAATGACAGGCTGGCAGAAATCCACCAACAAAGCGCAGAATTCTCTCCAGAACTGGGACACAAACTGGGGACCCCTGTCGTAGAGATTATCTCCGTCGGGGAAACCATGAATGCGGAAAACACCTGTTGAGTGAGAATTTCCCCCCATTTCTTTAGTGGATATGAGTTTGGGCAGCAGAACCAAATGGACCATCTTAGAAAACCCGTCATAGTAAGGATGACTCTGATGCCTTCAGAGCTGGGTAGACCGGTAATGAAGTCCATGCAAATATTTGACCATGGTTCGGACAGAATGGTTAAAGGACATAAAAAGCCAGACGGGGGTCAGCTCGATGTTTGATACTGGTTGCAAAGGAGGCAAGCTGCCACAAACTCCCATACATCAGAAAACAGAAAGCCACCAGAAGTAAGAGTAATGTTGATAGTTTTAGTAACTCTGAGATGACAAAACAAGTGGGGACCAAGACTGAAATCTAAGACACTCTTTCTCAAAATGTCAGGGACAAACAAACAATCTTTAGGGTAATCCTCCAGGTGCTGATAGTTACAGAGAGTCTCTCTCACTTCCTTCTCTAAATCAACCATTGTGACAGAACATCTCACAAACTGAGGTAAAAAATACTCCTCTACACCAAATAAACTCTCCTCGTCCACCTCAAACACCCTGGACAGTGAGTCCCCCCGCCTGTTTTGGGTTAAGTCTCTTAATGGACCTCAGGTATTCCAACTTTTTATGATCAGTTCAAACCAAAAAAAGGAACCTTGGACCCCTCCGAATGATGTCTCCATTCCTCCAGAGCCAGCAGTTCCTGATCCCCCACATCGTTGTTCCCCTCAGCGCTTGAAAGCCCCTTAGAGAAAAAGGCACTGGGTTGAATCTTGCCATCCTTGGCTTCTTGACTGAGGGCCACCCCAAATCCAGTACTGGAGGCATCCACCTCCACAATGAATTGTCTATCTGGATCGGGGAAAACTAGAACAGTGCAGAAGTGAAAAGATTCTTGAGTCTCTGAAATTCTCAATAAGCCTGTTTTTTCCAACAGAACTTGATCTTAGCTGAGGCGAGGCCATGAATCAGAAATGTACTTCCTTATAGCCTGAGATTCAGTGCCAGATAAGGAATACAACCTCCCCGTAGGGTGCGTAGTACCTGGCAGTAAGTCAATCCCACACATAGGCGGATCTACTGGGCTGTCATTTAGGGTGGCAAATGCCACCCTA